TTTAGAGGTAAAAGAGTAATCAATTGATTTTCACTCAAAAATTTCAGAAGGAAGAGAAGAAAAAAATTTGAAAATTGGTGGTTTCAAGGAGCAACCACTGCATGTCAAAGGTTAAAAAAAGGTGCGACCTCGCGAATGGGTTAACATGTTGTATAGTCAAAAGTCGTTAATCCGGACTCGTCGGGACTTCGGCGATTCCGGATTATCGATTTTTCCAGATTATAGATCATCAGTTTAAATCTGGTAAGATGTCATGCAGAAATTACAAAATTAAAAATATGAAACCGTAATTTATGAAATAAAGAACAATTATGATCTAAAGGGTATCAAAATTTACAAAAAGAAAAAGCTTAATATTTATTTGTTTACTTTATTAAACATTTCCTTCAATGTAAGTTGCTTCGTTTCATGTGATAATACTTTCTCTTTAATTCTATTAAACAGACATAATTTCTTGTTTAGTTACAAAGTTCCGCTGTTCAAGTCATATAATTGCTGTGTTGAGAATACTGACTAATTTGTCAATCGAAATGTTTTCGTTTTCAATAACCTCTGGGTCACTTTCTTCACTATTGGAAGCGAATTATAATGACGAGGAACTTGATTTAAATCATATCAAAGACGGAGTATATCGAGATGAAATACTACACTTAGTACGGAATTATAACCAAATAAAATAAAAACATCTGCTCTGAAGATAAGGATAGTGCTGACAGATCAACTTCCAATCCCCAGCGTGAAATTGATAAACAGATTTCGGATTTCGAAACATACTTTCGCTTTGTAGATACAAATTACATATTAGTAAATATATATCGGAAATTCTATTTGACATAATCTTTCTAATCTATCATAATCTAATAATGATGTTTCTGCCCCCCCCCTCTGCCGCAGAGCAGATGAAATTGATAAACAGATTTCGGATTTGAAAATATACTTTCGCTTTGTAGTAAATATATATCAGAAATTCTATTTGACATAATCGAAAGTTCAAGCTTACTTTTATAAAGTTGCTCTAAGAGTCTGCAAAAAATAATAAACCGGATCCAATTCGAAGATTAAGGAACAACGCAATCTGCAACATTAACTGAATTAGATAACTTTAGCTTAGCGTATAACTCCGTTACACATTAAACGTGCATGCGCACGAACATATTCGCAGCTGTAAGGGTCTTATGCGCTCTCGTAAACGCCTGTGCGCATGCGTGAACGCGATGCATGCGCTTAAAGTTTGTAGCTTTGAGGTCCGGATTATAGATCATTCCGGATTATGATTGTCCAAATTAATGACTTTTGACTGTATACTCTTAAGAAACATTGATCTAAACAAAACTAGCATTTAAAGGTGATAAAAGTTAAGTGCACCATTCGTGTAGCAGAGAAATCTGTCTGTGAAAACCATAAATTAGATTAGAAAATGCGAGATCGCAAATCGCTTGCAAAAGTGTGCGCATTTCAGAAATTGTTTTCTTACAAATTGCTCATGCTATCTACCCAGTTCCATTGCATTCTCCTAAAGTCACCATTTGGTGTGGTATGACAGCTAGTTTCATAATTGGACCATTTTTCTTTGAAGAGCAGTCGACAGCTGGACCTGTTACATGCATTGTGGCTGCAGTAACATGGTATTTTAGACCCACAATTTTTATGCAGGACTGGGACCCACCTTATATTGGTACATGTGTCACACAGTTATTTAGGCAACATTTCATGAATGAATGGATTATAGGCCGACAGCTCCCTACTTCTTAATCACCCTGGTCACCAGACCTCAAGCACTGAGACTTTTGGCTATGAAGTTATCTCAAAAGCAAAATTTATGGTGATAACCTAGAGCTGCTGTTAATGCAGTAACACGATTTAAAATGCTTTTGGAAAATGGTGGATGCCACATTGAACATGCTTTGTAACATGTTTCAGAAACAATTAAACATGTTTTAAACCAATGTCTTCATGTTTTATTTCATTTAACACTATTGCATACAGTGTGATTTTCCCCTTGGTGGGGAGATTTTTAACTATTTTTTCCTTCTTGGAAAATAAGTTCCCATAACATCCTTTATATGATTACCAAGTTTGATAACCATTTGGTCCAGTAATTTTCCTTTTATGACTATTTCAAAGTAGAACTGTATAACTACTCTATAAAAAACTAGAAATAACACTCTAAATGGGAATTTTTTCAGTTTCACATCTTCTCCAATAACAATGTAATCATGTTATTTATAATACAAAGCATATGCAGACCAAAGCTTGGGATCAACCTTTTCCCCCCATATACTCCTTTCACCATCACTAGAAGCTCATTCACGCCCTCTTTTCCAAAACTAAAAAATAACACATTTACATATAGTTAGCTTTAGGTTATTTTTATTGTTTTTTTTTCCCAACAAAGGAACAAAAGTATATAAAATATTGATAAATATCCAAACTTGAATAAAAACTAGTTTTTTATATTTAGAAACTAAATACTTGACAGCTAAATTGAAGGCTGACCGCATCTCCTCGGACTCTATGAATCCCAAGTGGGGTGAGGAATTCCCCTGTGGCTGGGAACCCCTGCTGCATGTTCCCATTCCTTGTGCCCTAAATAGAAATAGTCACTCGTTTGAATGTTTTCTGTTGCGAGAGCATTCTTAAGTTTTCATAGGATGATGTTTGATTTGATTTATAGTCTTTTTACTATTTTGACTCATTTGACTATTCCTTCTGCATATTTCAAGTTAAGGTATGGTTATTTTAATACATAGTTAACATTTTGTTGGCAGTAATGAAATGCTTGAATCGTAGAGATTCAAATTCGCAGTTATAAAACATTCTTTACGAGATCAAAGAGTAAGACCAACTATTATGTACATCAAAGTATAAGACCGGGGAGAGCATCAGTTCTTAATTTTTACTTAAGTTGACTTCAGAGTATTGAGAGATCTCCTTTCCAGCTTAGCTGTTCAGTTGCACTTTTCACTGCATTTAAAGCTGTATTTAATGTTCTTAGTACTTTGAAATGGTTAACTACTGACTATGCTGTGTCATACTGAGATGAGGTGTACAAGTACTTTTGTGAAAAGTTCCAGAACTGGTAAAGGGTTTCACTTGGGAATATAAATTTTATCACACTGTCCTGAGGTGTGTCGCATTCTATCCATTACTAACCCATATGCACATAAGAATAGATGTAATTTATTTATCTAACCTATAATATTTGTATTGAACAGTCAAAAAATTAACACTGATAAATTTGGTAAATATGCTCATAGAACAGATAGATATTTTGTGCCATATTTCAGTCAGAGTATACAGGTTTTTTTATACAGTCAAAAGTCGTTAATCCGGACTCGTCGGGACTTCGGCGATTCCGGATTACCGATTTTTCCAGATTATAGATCATCAGTTTAAATCGCATAAGATGGCATGCAGAAATTCTAAAATTAAAAATATGAAACCGTAATTTATGAAATAAAGAACAATTATGAATTATTGTAGTAGAATTATTGTAGGGTATCAAAATTTACAAAAAAAAAAGCTTAATATTTATTTGTTTACTTTATTAAACATTTCTTTCAATGTAAGTTGTTTAAGTTGCTTCGTTTTATGTGATAATACTTTCTCTTTAATTCTATAAACAGACATAATTTTTTGTTCAGTTACAAAGTTCCGCTGTTCAAGTCCCGTTAATTGCTGTGCCGAGAGAAAAGAATACCGACTAACTTGTCAATCGAAATTTTTTCGTTTTTCACTAACCTCTCTGTCACATTCTTCATGTCTTTATCCATTTTTTGCAGCAATTCCACTTTTTGTTTGATGGACATCGAAACATACTTTCGTTTTGTACGATCCTTTGGGAGCTCCAGAAATTCGGAAATTCTATTTGACATAATCGAAAGTTCAAGTTTACTTTTATAGTATTGCTCTTACAGTCTGCAAAAAATAATAAGTCGGATCCAATTTGAAAATTAAGGAACAACGCAATCATCAACATTAACTGAAATAGATAATTAGATAATTTTAGCTTATACTGTTCGTTATACATAAAACGCGCACGCAAAAACGTATTCTGCGCTTGCGCACACGCAAATGCGCAGTCGTAAGAGGTCTTACACGCACGCGTAAACGCCTATGCGCGTGTGTCAACGCGGCACATGCGCAGAAAGTTTTTAGCTTTGAGGTCCAGATTATAGATCATTCCGGATTATGGGTGTCCGAATTAACGACTTTTGACTGTATATGGATATAAAATATTATCTTCTGCTTTGTTGCCAGTTGGAAAATTAACAGAGCATAGTCAGGAATTGTGCAGTGCAGATTTAAAAAGGAACTGTGAACACAGTTTAACAGTGCTACGAAAGCTCAAAAAACAGTGCAATGAAAATATTTTTAATTGCTTTTATTGAGCTCTGATCTCTTTAACAAGAGAAAATTGCCTAAAAGACAGTTTGAAATCTGGCCAAAAGAAACTATATGTTTGTTGATACTTCCATCTTTAGGGTTATTATATAATTTGTATTCCTCATATTTTTTATATTATTGCAATTCTGTGTTCATTCTTTTGCTTTATTGCATTTCTGTGTAGTTAGAAGTTTGAAGATTCATAGTTTGAATTCTAGAGAAACCCACTTGATTTTTCATTTTTCTGCACTACCTATTAAATAAGGGATTAATTTTGTCTCATTATGAAGTATTTTCTCTTAAAATATATGATTCATTTTATTCATGTTTAATAGCTTTTTGATAGAAAATTATTTTAAGATTTTATTATTGATAATTTTAGACAAATTTAAATATATTTTCCCTATAGTCCCTCTTTTTATTTATTATTGTTATATGTTTATTCTTGTTCTTGTATTCATTCTTATCTTCTTATTACTGTTATTTATTCAAGAACATTTTTAAAATTCTAGTATGTATTTTTGTGACTAAAAATTGAATGAAAAATAAAAGTTTCAACTGTAAATTTTTAGTTTTTCTTCTCATGCAATTGATTATACTAATTTATTTTATAGAGTTACTAATGTCTCCCAAAAAGAAAAAGCAAAACAGCGTCCATTGGCTTTAAATACAGTGGAGCTCATGAGAGTAGCAAGCTCTGGGCTTAATATGGGACCTCATCATGCCATGATGATTGCAGAAAAGCTTTACACCCAAGGTTACATAAGTTATCCTAGAACTGAAACTACAAATTATCCAGAAAATTTTGATTTAAGGTTGATTTTGTTTCTGTTTTGAATACTTCTTTCCTGTTTTACTATTTTTATTGTTTAATTGAATTGTCTATGCTTCAACAGGGGTACTTTGCAGTTACAAAGCAGAAGTTCAGATTGGGGTAACGAAGTGCAGGAACTGCTAGGTGGTACAATGATTCGGCCAAGGTAATATCAGGTTTCAGTGAGCCTACCTTAGTATTTACTAATGATCCTCTACTTTTACTGATATTTTAGTGTAGTGCATATTTGGTGCTTGTGTATTAACTGGTGCCTGTCAATTCATTGCATAAGCAATCTAGTAGTGGATTTTGGTAATGAAATATATTTTCTGCATCAACAGACCAGTTTTTTTTTTTTTTTTTTTTAATTTCCAATGGGTTTTTATTTGACAATTGCATTATATTGTTACTATGTACAGCTTGCCCGTGCCTTTATATGAAATCTGCTAAAAAAAGAGGTATATAACTTCTCTTGAACCATTTCCCAGCTCTTATTCTAACTCTTTCTCAGCTGCTGATGTTATATTTCTGGTGTATAATTTCCATCATGCACAGTTTTATTGCATAAGAATTGAAGTACTTGTGTTTTTGGTGAAATACCATATGCCTCTGAATAATGGATTGCTTTTGTTTTATCTCTTGGCAGATCTAGTAAATGCATGATGAAAAATGCCATAAAAATTAGGGCATGTCAAATAGATGTTCTCTTAAGAATTTTCTGTGGAGAAGGGGTTTAACACTAGAATTACAGAAGGGGTCATTTTAACACTTAGCATCTCTTTTATCTCTGACAGCTTTTCTTTCTTTTCCGCAAATATCTTAATCATTTCTCGACTTTTCCTAAATCATTGTGATTTACGAAATAGTAAACATTTCAAGAAAATTGTATTTTTATTTTAGCCCTAACAAATGATTATACCTAGAAATATGGTAAGTGTCATTTTGACCCCTTTGAGAGAAAAGAAATGTGAATACATTGCATTGTATTATCTGAACACTGTTACTTCTGTAAACTATTATTTGTATTTTTTATTTGCACCTGCTAAATAAAATACAAACAAAGGAAAAGAATATGGTGGGTCTGCGTAGTTTCATATCTGCCAGTCACATGATTTGAAATATGTGCAATACTTTTCTTTGTGGAAAGAAAACAGAGAAAAGAGATTATTACAAGCTGAACGTTTGTAGATTTTTCGTAGATATTTTGTTTATTATTCATAACAAGTTTTAGTGGAAAATTTTATTTTATTTACATGAATTTATTATAGTGATGTACTAATGGCACGTAGAAAAGGAATAACGCATGAAGAAATCATGAAACTGATGCAAGAACTATCTGATGCCTATTCCGGTTCTGAAATCGAAAATAATTCTACAGATAAAGATGGAGATGAAACATCTTGTGATTCTGAATTTATTATATAGAGTAATCAGGCAGTATCATCTTCTAGCTCAAGTGAAGGTACAAATGGATTTGTTTCTAAGAGTTCAAATTCTGCTGTACCTAAGAATGCCAAAGCGGGAAATAGTAGACGCTCAAAAGAGAATATGAAATTCAACGTAATTCAGACTAACACTTGTAAAGGAATTGCTAGTGATGAAACTGTATGGAAAGTAGAAAATACTTCAAATACTTCTGGTCGACCCTTGCAAAATATCTTGTGAGAAAAAGAAAGGACCAACATCCTATGCTAAACGTCACATTTGTTCTGGTAAAGCTCTTAGTGCGTGGAAGTTAATAATAAATGAAAAAATTTTACCCATCATAAGGGAGTGTATTGATGCTGAAGCCAAGTATAAACTTCATAATGACTCTTTCACTATTTTATTAGCAGAACTAGAAGCATTCATAGCGTTGTTGTACGTAAGGGGGGCATTAGCCGCCAAAGGCTTACCAATTCTTAGTTTGCGGTCCAAGACTTGGGGACGAAAGTTTTTTCATGAAACTATGAGTAGAGAAAGGTTTCTGGAAATCATGAAATTTCTTCACATGATAATAAACTATCAAGGTCTTCATGTTTGCAGTGTGATAAATTTGCATTAATATAAGAAGTATGGAATACTTTTATAAAAAACTGTAAGCTTTGCTACAAACCAAATGAAAACATTACAATTGATGAGCAGTTATTCCCTACAAAAACAAGATGCTGTTTTTTGCAGTATATGCCTAACAAGCCCGATAAATTCAGAATAAAATTTCCGCTAGCAGTAGACGTTAGGACAAAATACTTATTAAACGGATTTCCATATTTAGGAAAAGATAAAATGAGACCAAAGTTTAAAATCAAAAGTGATCAAAGTTTAAGAGGAGAAATAGTAAATCATTTAGTTGATCCTTACAAAAATACTTGGCCGAAATATAACTACAGACACTTTCTTTACATCAGTAAAACTTGAGAAATCCCTAAAATCAAAAGGATTGAGTCATGTTAGAACAGTAAATCGGGCTCAAAAAGAGAAATTCTCTCTAGTTTCAAAAATGTAAGAAACTAATTTTTTTCTTCAGTTGTGATGAAACACGACTACATAACACTTAACTAACAATATCAAGGTAAAAGGAGCAAAAACGTAATTTTGTTAAGTACACTCTATTCATCAGTTGAATTTGAATCTAATGAAAAGAAGGTTCCTGATGTATTACAGTTTTACAATTCTACAAAATTCGGGGTAGATGTTTTGGATCAAATGGCAAGAAAGTACTCTATGAAAGCACCATCACATCGTTGGCCAGTACATGTATTCTACAATATTTTGGACTTAGCAGGCATAAATGTGTGGATTCTGTAGTATAAGGAAGTTACAAAAAAAAAAAAAAAAAAAAAATATCAGCAAAAGGGATTTTCTATTGCGTTTGGCAGAAGAACTAAGAGAAGAATATATCTCTAGTTTGTGCAAAGGTAACAAAACTTCTAATATTTGAGACAACTGTAATAAATATGTATGCGGATACTGTACACAAAAAATCAGAAAGATAAGTGTGTTTGCTAATTCCTGCGTTGACTAATATATTATCTGTAAATAAAATATTTCTATATATTTCTATTTCTATGTACTCTTTATAGCAAAAAGTTTGTTTTAAAATACTTTAATATTTGGATTAAAAACCACTTTTTTTGGGGGAAAATTTGTGTAAATATTTATACATTTTATTTTCTGCGTTTCTGAAATGTAAGCTATAGAAAATAAAAAAAAATTACATTTTCCGAAGGAAATATTTAAATGCTTGTTCATATTTTGACTACATACATTCAAAGTCTCTATATTCTTTAAAATAAACTGTAGTTGTTATAATTTGCATTATTTTAATTTCTTTTCACAAATATATTATATCATATAGAGAAATATGCAGATATCTTATCAAGGGGTCAAAATGAAACCCGCCATAATTGTAGGTACACGAAGACCACCGTAATTCTAGTGTTAAAAAATAATGTAATGTAAATATATCCTTGCTGTCATTGGTCTAAAATTGATATTGGAAAAAAAAAATCTGAAAGGTTTCAGATTTTAAATTACATCCAAGGGGGCTTTTTTTTAACGTTTTGTGTGTTACCTTTACTTATTAAATATCATGTTCTTTGTACTTAAACCATAAAATTCAGTTCAACAGCAATGTCGCAAAATAATTTTAAAATGAGCACATCTTTAAAATTTCTGATACACAGTTCTGCGCCCTGGAGATAAAAGGGTTCTCGGTTAATCTTTGGATTATTTGAACCTGGCGAAAATTTGGCGACCAACCCTGCTACAGCAACCTGCTAGTTTTTGTTTGGACGCCATTTTGTTTTCACGAAGTAAAGGCATTTTTTTTTTTTTTTTTACTCAACATTTTTTTCCAACAATCTGCTAGCCGAATTACACTTATGCTAGAACTTTTATGGAACAAAAGTGATTAATCATGACGAAGATTAGGTGCGAAATTGGGAGAAAGGGCAGAATCGCAAACTGCTTGCCGCGTTTTTAAGAGTAGCACATACACGGTATCCATGTACACGTTGACCTATTTTCACTTAAAAAAACATCCCAAAATTGCACAAAAATGGCATTGCGCACACTCTTGACTTTATCAATGTACACTGCTAAAGTCTTTGCTAGTAACCTTTATTGCCTTAACAAATTGTAGCCAAACTACCTGTTACCATATTCCAAAGATTAGCCAGGTTCTCCCCTCCCATAAAGTGTTTCCGTTGCTCTCTTTTAAATCATTGAGTTTGTTAATCAAAAATTCTTTAAAGTTTTTACAAAATATGAAATCAATAATAAAACAAATTCCAAATTTCAAATTTGGGTTTTCAGATGCCCATATTTGCAGTAGGATTAAGTCATTAAAAATTGGATGGCTCTAGGTACTATTGTTTTATCGCAATGCAAGAAACATACATACATTTATGCAGATTCTTCATTATTTAATTTCTTCAAATATAATGTAGGTCTCTAACATTTGGTGACAACAGTTTGAAAAGTGAATCGGACATTTATAGTGAACCAACGCAAATTCACAAAAACGGAAACAATAGTCCTTCAGGGACAAAGCCCCTTTGGACTAAAAAAAGGGAAAAAAAAAGTAGCTGTGCCCATCTTCTTTTATTCCTAAAGAGGGTTGGGATTTACAAGAAAAGAAAAGCCATAAAAATTTCTTCATTTTAGAAGGATCTGGAGCAGCTTCTCCAATTGGCAAATGCTTGCTGGAAATAGTCAGAGGTTGTATTTTGGGGAATATATCAATGAATACAGGCTAATACATAAGTACCATGCATTTTCTGGTATTAAAATAATAATAAAAAAAAATGTAAAACTGCATAGGCTTGCTTTTATTAAAAAATTGCAAAGCCTTATTTTTACTTATTTATATTATTATATAGAAAAGGTCATGATGCTGGTGACCATCCTCCTATAACCCCTATGAAATTGGCAAATAGAAATGAATTAGACTCAGATTCATGGAAGATTTATGATTATGTTGTCAGGCATTTTATTGCCACAGTGAGTATTATTATTATTATTATTTTTTGTATGTTCTCATTGTTTTTATTTGGTGTCTATTTTTTATTTTTATTCTTTGTTTTTCTTTAGCTTCCCCTCCCCCTTATGTTCATAATAAGTTTCATTCAAAGATGAAAGATTAATGTCTCAAAATGTGTGTCTGTTATTAAACAAAAAAATTCCATTAAAGAATTACTTTTTATTTCATAAATTTTTGTCTTTTTATATTTTTCTTTCTAAAAACGGTATAGCAAAGGTATTTATGTATTAAAAATTATTTTGTAACATTAGATCTACATATCTACATATTTGAGAAAACAAAGTAACTATTTCAAGTACTTTTTATCCAACAGGCCATCACCTGATGCCAAATGTAAATACTGGCACGAAATCTAAATAGAGTTTGGTATTGTAACCCTAATATTATGACAAATTAGAGAACCCTAATGAAATATAAATACAGGCGTCAGTTTAGAAATGCCCTTTATGAAAAGACTGAAAAGACTTTATGAAAGACTTCTATTAAATCCGAAATAAACGCAAAAATTCACAATTAAAAAATACAAAATTGATAAATTTCAGATTACACAAAATGTATAATAGATTATACAGAAGGTACAGTATCATTTCTTGTGTTCAAAACACTTTTTTCCATGCAAATCAAGCTCAAATCATACAATCCATGTTGATTCTTTTCTTCTTAAAAATATAATAATAAATAAAGGGTCAGAGTTTAACAACAACAACAACAAAAACTAAAATTCTTAGATTAAAAATTTTTGGATTGACTTTCGTCTTCCCACTTATTCACATTGACCATCTTCCTTAGCTGCGTAAGCAAGGTGGTTCTGTAGTTAAACGATCGAAACTAGTCCTGCAAACTTTACAAATATGACGTTGATTCTTTTTGTTTGATTTCTCCAATAAAATATAGTTATTGTTTGAATTTGTTCCTGCTTGTAATATATATGATGTGATACTTGAGTTCCTGGGCAAGAAGATAAACCTAAGCATTTTGAAATTATTTCTTTTTTCTAATGAATTCTTAAACAACTTTTCCTTTTGGGGATGTGAATTCTTTTATTAAATGATTCTAAATTTAGAAATAAAGATGCTTAAAGAGGAGAAAATTGATTAAATTAACCAGAATGTGTCTGAAGGTTTCAAATTAAAAGGATGCATAAATCTTTTGTTGTGTGTTAAACATAAATGCTTTGCAACTTTTAATGTATAATTATCCTGATATAGTTTAAGAATCAATTTCATAAATTACTTGTGTGTTAACCAAGGCTGTGGAGTCGGAGTCAGGGAGTTGGAATCGGAGTCGGACAGATTTGGGGGTAAAAGGAGTCGGAGGTGGAGTCTTAAAAACAAATCGAATCCAGTTTTTGTTGGACAGTTTGAATTTGAAATGAAATTAAAATGAATTGAAAAAAATTAATGACAAGCTTTATTATTATTTTTATTTTATGGACTGTATAAATTAATAAATAGTTATTTTCTATTTTATTGACATATTAATAAATAAATATGAGGGAGGAGGATGGATGTGATATTTGCCATTAGTGATTAAAATGATTCTTAGTTACAAATCTGACTGGTAAATTTAGGTAAGCAGCAAGAACTCCCAAAATTGATGCCATTCCTAGTAAGCGAGCAGGAAAAGGAACAATTATTGATCAAGCAACGTGATAAGGAAGTACATATTTGATGATAAAGAATTTTTTAGAAGATGTAGATAACTCTAATATTTTTAAACTGAGAAGTTTTTTAACCGCTTTATTTTCAATGACGATATTTTGTACCACGATGTTTTAGAACTGCAATGTTTTAAATTTTGCTTTATTTTCCCCCACAGTGTTTTGTACCATGACGTTTTCGCCTTGCGTTGTTTTCTCCGCGATGTTTTTGTTGTGAAGTTTTTGGCGGATACCATCTATACCTAGCAGCATTTACATGCTTTCTATAACAATCAGTTTCCTTAGACTACCAAGAAACGCCATTCTTCATACTTTTCTTCATCAGAACAATTAAAATAATGTTAGAAGAAAGCACAATTAAAAATAATGTTAGAAAGTCTGTTTACAACATTTTCTAATGCAATACAATCAGAGCAACTATTAAAAGAAGGATATTCAAGTTGCACAGTTCTCTCTTACAAAGTTCTGTAAATAAATGCCAGTTCGTTCTTTTTAAATTGAAAGTACACAAATTAGAAGATATAACCAGATGACATAAAACAAGTTCAAAGATAATCATTTTATGGTCAGAAAGAGAATCTTCCTCAAAGATATCCCAACATTGAATATATGGCAACAGTCCCAAGATACAAAGTGTAAGGTCAATATAACTCGAGCCATTGGTGAACAGAATGTAGGTCCGTGATTTTCATTAATTAGAAACAAATGATTCGCACTAATAAAATCGCCAAGCTTCATTCCTCTGACAACATCATTAAAATGATGTATTGTTTTTGGGGAGGGCTAGCAGCCAGTATTATTGTCAACTATAACAATAAAAAAATTAAACTGAACAATCCCCCTCCCCCCATGTACTCCAAGCTAAATATATTAAAATGTTTTGGGAGTATTATTAAAAGGAAATATGCCATTGTAAAAAAAGGAGCAATAAGTGTGATGCAATTCTAGAGAACTTATCTTCAACTGCGAAAGTAAATCTGTACAGAATCTAACTAGTTTAAATGTTTATTTCTGGCTGTGTGAAGACAGTCAGGAAATGTATCACCATAGCATTTTGAATCTGCTTATGGAGACCTGTATTTAACCTTCTGACGAGCAAGACTGTATAAATACGGCCTAGAAATTTTGTTTTAATATCTTCAGATAAGTGTATATGTGCGTGTATCTTGGAATGTGTCTGCGAAATTAAAGCAGCATTTTAAAAGATAAAGATTTCAGGTATAAAATACAAGGAACATTTTTATATTCTAATGTAAAAATACTTCATTCTCATGGCAAGTTTGGAGACTTGGGGGTTTCGCAGCCTTTCCCTCTGCATGGTTAAACAGCATTTGTTACTTAAATTTTTATAATTAGTTATTTTTAGTTTCTGTTTTGATAAACTTCTATTCATTTAGAGGATATTTACATCATTAAAGGAAGTAAGAAAACAAAATATTCTAAATTTTAAGCTAATATATTATCAATAACTAATTTATATTAGTACCAATATATATCAGTACCTTTCCCTTGTTTTAACAAAGTATGAATTGAAGCCACATATGAAACTAATTCACAGTAATAACACAATTGTAGGAATAATTTGTTGTGATGAATTACTGCAGTGAAATTGGGGATGTCAGTTATAAAGAATAAAATAGGAAACTGTTATTTCATAATTTCTTTTTTACCCGATTGAATTTGTGGAATTCTTGGATAACATGAATTACGAATACTGTTTTATTTTAGGATGTTTTCATCTAATACTGAATTTTCTTGAAACCATTATTGCAAACAGACTAGAAGCATGTATCGATTTAACATTTACAGTGTTAACTGCCAATTTATCGTACTGTTATTATCTGTAGTGTGAACTGATATTATATTTTCATAAGTGTGTCAGTTTTTATTAGACTGTGTTTATGATCATTTTATTTCACTTAAATTAGTGAAGCAATTTGTTCTTGGCTTATTATAATTAATTTTTTAAATAAACTAAATGGAAAAATTAAAATCATTATGTTTGTAAAAGGGGAAACTAAATAAAATTTCAGCATTTAAAATAAAAGTTTGGTGATTATGTGCTACAAATTGGGGGGAAATACAAGCATAATTATAAAATCATTTTTCTTGTAGCTGTGTCCTGATTTGAAATATCTGCATACTGTTATATCATTTAAAATTGGAGAAGAAACCTTTACTTGCTCTGGAAAAGCATTATTGGATCCTGGATATACTAAAGTAATGACCTGGCAGGCTCTTGGTGCTGAAGAAACTCTTCCAGATTTAAAGCGAGGAGATATTTGTAAAGTAACTGAGGTAATAAAGTTTAGTTCTCTGTAACCCATTCACTTTATTTTTAAATGTGTTTGACTTAGAATTTCTTTCAATTCTACAAGTATGAAAATGTTTAATCCACAGAATCTAATCTAAGTTGTTTATTCTTTCATCAATAAAATTCCGAGTTCCATACTCAGTGACCCCATTCCGGATATGAATTCCTGGGCTATTTACAAGATTCTTTGCCAGTGTGGTTTAATTTACATTTGTCAAACTAAGAGAGCCTTACAATTTCGTGTTAAGGAACATGAGGCAAAAAGGAAACACAGAAGTCTTCTGTTGCCCAGCATTGTTGGTCCGAAAATCACACTTTCAATTTTTCTGCAGCCAAAATTATTCAAAAACATCTTCCATTGGTGAACTGGATTTTTTAGAGGCATTTCACATTCAAAAAAATATTTCTGTTCTAGTTAACGACCTTAATTCCAATCCATCTTTGCCTTCAGCCTTTAAAGAAATTATGCTTTAGTTCTGGTTTCATCAACAGATGGCGCCAGTAGCTTGACTCCTGTTAAGTTTCTCTTATCTTATCTAATCACTATATCGTATCTCATTCATTTGCGCTTTTGCAGCTGAGGATGATGGTTTGGTAAAACCATCGAAACTAGTCCTGTGAAAATTTGAAAATATAACACTGATTTTTGTTGTTTGTCTTCGAAATTAATATCTGTTTGGCGTGTTATTGTATCTTAGTTTTCTAATAGTTCACAAACAGCTGTTGTTGGGAAGTGTGCTAAAAAATTTTATTCCTCATAATTTAAACACTGGCATTCTTTTCTTTATTATTTACCAAAAACATCTCTGATCTATTTTTTGTGTGTGCTATGTATGTATATATGTGCATTTTTGGTTTGCTTCTGTTCCATCTAGTATTTAAAAAACAAAACATTAAATAGACTGACACGTCTCGGTGAAACTGGCTACCCCTGTTTGCAAATGGATAAAGTCCCCCATATCTGTTAGTGAGAGGATCTGTTTAAAGTACATAGATTATAGGAACTAGTTCCTCGGATTCCGAGCTCCAGTGCTTTGGCACTAGTCGAAGATCTGGGTCCTTCGGAGTCATGATCACTAGCTCTTTCATCACTCCTGCTCTAGCCGCAGGTCTGATTTCTACAGAGTCTTCATTATTCCCTCTTTTCAATGCTCTTGCTCTAGCCACAAATCTGGTTCCTGCGGAGTCTTGATTATTTGCTCTTTTTGCTTCTTCAGAGCTGTTCCTTTGAGTTTCATTTTGATTCTTTGAATATTGCATCATAGTATAGCTATGTTTCCTAGGTATTACCGTTTTTTATATAATATTACTGTAATATTTATGTAAAATAATAAATTATATTTTTATTTACTAATTTTACTAACGTCTTGTAATCAAGAGGTATGAATTTCTCTTTAATCTTTGTTAGAATTAGTCTATGTATATAAACATAAATTTTTCAGTCTAATGTATTTTTTCAAGGTAGCAGAACAAAATGTGACCTTGCTGAATAGAAGAACTTCAAGCGATATTTGGTATCATTTTGTCAAATAAGATAAAAAAAGTAAAATGTCAGCATTGTCAGGAGACAATTTCCTTTTCTTTGGAATCTGCTTTCAATCTAAAAATTTATTTTTACACTTTGTTATGTAGTAGCAACACAAAATATCAATTATAATAATAATAATAAAATAATATATTTTCTGACAAAAGTGAGTACTCCAGAATTTTATTGTTGTTCTATGTAGAAAGTTTTTTTTTTTTTTTTTTAAGGGAATCTCAAAATTATACCTGAAAGAAATCAGTTCAGGAAGTGAGCGGTTTAGTTGAGTTGATTCTAGTGATCCCACTCCTTGTTCAATTCTTTCTGCTTTTCCCCAATCTTTGCACATAGCTCTTGATCCATGCCTATTTCGAGCACATTCATCAGGGTCATTGTTAGTGAGCAGTGAATCGTTAAAAGAACTGATGTATTTCAGTGAGCGAACGTTCCCAATCTGATCCCTTAAAGGAGCGGTTTTGCCCATCTCTAATGTTTAGTGTACAGTTGGGTCAGCATGGAGTGCTCTGATTTTAGAGCTGACGAGATTAGCTGAAAATAGTCATGTGTTATATGCTCCATTGTCTCTTTATTCCATTGCCTTTGCCAGTTGTTGTCTGCATTTATTTTGAGTTTTTTTTTTTTTTTTTTTTTTTTTTTTTTCAGCGTTGACTCTGGATTTCATGTATGTCCCGTAACTGGGAAGATGTATGATGTTGCTACCTTTGCTGAAATGTCCGTCTTTTCATTTCCTTCATACCTTACTTGTGCATTGGCCCACTGCAAGTTTATAAGACTATCTCTACTTAGCAGAAGTTCCCTAATAGCATATAGGAATTCACTTTTAGAAGTGCCATCACTTGCAACTCCAATACTAGACATGCTTTCTGTGCGTATAAGTGTTCTAAAGTATTCGTGCAGAAAGCAGTGGCTGTACCATTCTCAGTTTTTGAGCCATTGGTATATGTTTCAAGTTCAGCTGTCCCTTCTGCTATATCACTCATTTTGCTATTTCATAGTTATGTTATGCAGGATGGGTATTTTGCGGATGGTACTGTTTTTTCATGTTCTGTGTTCATATAAGTGGCAATGCATGTGATGGTGTCTAATCTTAATACTTTTGCCACTATGCCACATTCTTGCATTACTGGATACAGTGGTTTCAGACTTGCAAAATTCAGTATTGCATCTGTCGGTGCAGTCCTGTATGCTGTGGTGATTAAGAAAGCTATCTGCCTTTGCAGGCTCAGAATTTTCTGACTGTATATGCATTTAACGTCATTCACCAGGGTGATGCTCAATGGTAAACTGTTGGCACTATCATTGTGTGATATCACATTTTCAGAAGTGTTGAGGAAATGCTCCAGATTTTCCCTGTTATCCGGAGCAGACTGCTATACTGCTGAGATGTTTTATCTTTCAGGTATTCTATATGCAGAATCCAACTGAATTTATCATCTATAATAATGCCAAGATATTTTAGCATTTTGCTTATCTTAACTGACTTCTCTTTTATTTGGAAAATTGGGAGGCTTAATTAGGGTTTTAGGATTTTCAGTTACTATGGCAACCCTTTTTTTGTGTGTGTTGGAGCACAAACTTATGTTAGGAATGCCACTTCATAATGCTTGATTTACCTTGGTCTCTATAATCTTCTAGCACTCACCTCTACTATTATCAAGATGTCATTTGCATATGCTTATGCATATGTATTCTAACCAAGACTGCTCAGTAGATTAACACTCCATCCACTATGATGTTCTCCAAGGTCGTGCCAGGGCACGATCCTTCTGTGCAGCCTTTATCTATGTCTCGTGGGAAGATGCCTCCATCTTTGGTGACGTTTAATGTTCTGCATGACTGATAGCTGCTAATTATTCTCATGATACCATTCTTAACTCCCAGGTGGTCCAATGCAGCAAGTATATCTGGCCACTAAAAGCTTGTTTGATGTCAAGCAAGAGCATCGCTGTGTACTTGCCTCTTGTGAGATTGCTGTCTCTGATTATTTTAAAGTTGTACAGTGTGTAATTCACTGAAAGTCCTTTAAAGCTGAATTGAAGGTGTTTTTCTAGCAATGTATAGATGTTGCAGTCTTCCTAGGATAAGTCTCTCAAGCAGCTTACCTTAGGATGGCAAGAGACTTAATACGTCTGTAGGAGGAGGGCAGTAACATTGAATAGCCTTGTTTGAGAAATAGGACTACTCCAGCATCATTTAAGAGTGTTGGCAAATGTCCCATTTCCTAGCAACGATTGAGGAAGCAGGTCACAAGTTTAGGAAACGCTCAAAACATATCTGTTATGATTCTGTTGTCCACCCTATCTGTTCCTGGAGCCTTATTTGGATTCAGCCTTTTTATTAGATTGGCCACTTCTGAGTGAAAAAAAGATTTGAAGTTACCTAGGCTGGATGTATTGTTTCTTGCTTGTTTCTGTTCTAGTTTATGACAAGGTGTATTTATATCTTTAATATCATTAGCAAGCAGATGCTGAAGAATAATTCTCACTGTTGTGGTGGTGCAAAGGCTTGCGAATAGTTTGCTTGCATTAAGGGTGATGCTTCTGTATTTAAAGGCGATGCTAAATTTTGCTGTTGTATGAGTGCAAAAGGCCCTCCAAACTGTGTCTTTGCATGTAGTATTGCAAACGTATATATGCCACCTTCCTTTTTGAGAAGTATGCAGTAGTTCTCAATTGGAACTTTTTCAATTTGTAAGCTGCATAGCAGCCTGCTGTGATGCTTTATGTAAGAGCTTCTATGGCTTCATCAAGTGAGGCTGGAGTACAGCTCGCAGCTATATGTAGAGTTAGACTGTGTTGTGCTGTTTCTTTAAGTTGTTCTTGGAATGACCCCCATAATTTGTCTTAAATGTGCATTTATAATATTTAACTGTGCTGTGATTAATTATGAAAGAAATGTATTTGTGATTGCTTACTGGTTCTGTATTGAGGATTGACAGCTGTTTCCATTAGCTGCCTGGTTTCTAGAAAATGAACGTGACATCTGGCCAGCCTTTTGTTCATATTGTTTCAAATGTTGGCCAGGACTGTCTTCAATTGAGAAAAACTAGCCTGTTGGTAAAAGTGAACTGGAGAAGTTCTGATCCTCTAAATTCCAGTCAGGCTTGCTCGGATAGTGCTTTTCACATTTTCATCTCTGCCAATTTTATTCCTACATCCTTCACTAATTTTTTGATGCTGTAAGTGCTTTTTATATGTTTGTGGGAAATAGAAGGAGTTGATATTTGTGGATGTATTTGGTCTTCTAGAGCTATTATTACAGAATAAAGAAAGGAGTAAAGAAGAAGATCATGTAACCTAGCATAAATTATCACAGTTTTGCTGCTTTTTCAGCAGAATACTTGCCAGGCCATAGGAAGGCCTGTACTCATGGATAGGCGTGGCTCGTGTATGAGAGCAAGTGCAAGTTCATTTTCTCCCATAAATTGCATTGCCATTACTTTGACTGCTGTGGCTCTTTGGAGATTAACTTGGAGGACTCTTATTGGAAATTAACTTAGAGGGCTCTTATTGAGATGCCTCACTGATGAGCTTTTGTTGCTGTATTTCCTTCCTGTGCAGTTTTTTTTGGTGAATCTCACTCTGTATGTTGAACAGTTTCTGTCATTTATCCCATGATAAATGCTGTAAGTTACTCTTTTCTCGGCACAGTGCTTTATGCAGTTTATATACTTTTTTTTTAGCCCAAAGTGCAGTCTCTGAAAAGATGTTCAGCTGCATACATTGAGCAGCAGACTATTTATTGCATTCAGTACTGTGATGCCCTAAGCTTTAGCAGTTATGGCGCCACGTTAAGTTGATGTGTTTTCAGTAGGACACAGGATAAAACTATCTGGAACTTCTGTACTGCTTTAGTTGTCTGGGATTGCATCTATCAGCCAGTTTTTCGTGTACTCTGACTGTCTCAGTGATGTTTGCAGGAAAACTAATGAGGTAAAACGCATTAATGAACATGAAATCCCACAAATTTCTAAAGAAACAGTACACGAGAAAAGCTAGAGAAAATCTTTATAAGGTAAACCAAAACAAAATCACACAGCAACTTAAATGTGCTTGTATAAAAAGGACTAATTAAATAATATTCTAATATAAGTTTTAATTTTATATGAATTTTAGTATTAATTTTAAGAAATAGATAATGATTTATGGATACAAAGTTAATTATATTTGTCATTAAAATATTTATTATGTTAAAATTAATGTAAGAAGCCTTTATTTGTAAGTACTGAAATATGCCACATAGCTGTTTTTGCACAATAATTGAAAGTAATAATTATCAGGAAGTTCTGTACAAATGTTCGTCGTACTTCATATTATTGAGTTTATCATTTTCTATGTGATATGAAAAAAAAAAATGTACTGTTTAAAAATATTTATCTTTTAAATTATTTAAATACTTTTTCAATAACTCATGTTTTGTGCTTAATTCATATAATATGTGTTCTATGAACTTAATTCATATATTATATGTTCTAGGTTAAACTCAATGAAAGACAAACTTCCCCACCTGATTATCTAACAGAATCTGAAGTAATAACACTCATGGAGAAACATGGCATAGGAACAGATGCATCCATACCTGTGCACATTAATAATATTTGCCAAAGAAATTATGTTACTGTCTCTAGTGGACGTAAACTTATTCCTACATCACTTGGAATAGTACTAGTGCATGGATACCAAAAGGTAAAATCCCTTGTAAGCAGTGCTTAGCAAATACATATGATATTTATGCGTTAATTGCACTTTTGAAATTCTATTAAAAGTGTTAATGGAGAGACAATTAATGACATAAACTATGAAAATGACTTATTGATAATAATGACAATGCCATATAGTATTTGCATATGATGTCCTATGAGCTTGCTTTTTGAAAAATGCTTTTTTTCTAATGTTTACAATTGTTTCAGTTTTTCTGTTTCTTACTGTTTATTTCTCACTGTTTAAAAAAAATCATTGCAATTCTGACATTGAAATTAATTTTTAAATGTAATTTTGTAGTAATATTTTTATAGAATCATTTTGAATTTTTTTCCATGTGTGAATATTATTTACCATATATACTGGCATATAGCACATACCTTTAATTTCAAACTATATTTTGTAACCTTTAGGCTTATTTGCCATATAACATGCACTCTTTTCTTTATGAAGAAACTTGAAAACTATATGTGCAATGAATGCTCTTATCTTCTGTAGTCATTCATTCAAAGATTCTTCCCCCTTTTTTTAAACAAGGGTATACTCATTTAACAACTGATAAGGGGAACAATACAGGGTGGATCTGAAGAAGAGGGCAAAACTTTAGGTGGTGATAGAAGGCAGCTATACGAGCAATATTTGTCATAGAATGTATGGTTGGAAAGCAAGCAGCAAGATGTTAAGGGGTAGTTTTCCACTGTCACATTTAAAGAATTAACTCAAGAATGAGAGGAGATATTTCAGGAAATAATTTATCAACAGGAATGTAATTAATGTACATGCCCCGCCCCCCAAATAAAAACTGCTCAAAAGACCTGCCAGCTGAAATGCAAGCTTCACACTTCACGATAAGGAATGTTGCACATTTGTGAAGATACTAAGCATTTCCTGTTTATTGCCAGCAACAACAGCAAACTTGATAATTAGATCTATATTTGTTTCAAAGGGGCATTCATAGATTAGCCGTTTCATATGGCCCACAGGAGAAAGTTCAAACACAAGAGATCCAGTGATCTTGGTGGCCAAACTATGGAACACCTCGACTAATCCATCACCGTGGAAATTTCGTGGTTGTATAACCAGACATCGTCTTGGCAATCCACAGTAGAAAATGCTGTTGGGTGTGAAGACTGACCCTTTTTATACCATTTTTCAATGCCAACTTGCGGCTTGTCGTTTGCATTCTGACCATATATTCTGTGATGAATATTGCTTGTATAGCTGCCCTCTATCACCTCCTAAAGTTTTGTCTTCTTGTTCAGATTCACCCTGTATCTATGTGGGAAAAGTACATGAGGGAGTAAATAATTCTGCAAAGCGATTGAGTTGTATTTACTGCAAGTGTGTACAAGAATGTTACTCTAGTACTTTGAGAAAAGAGTGACATAATTTGGGGTAAGAGCTGAATGATTTCACGCAATTAGGATTCAGATGTTTTCCCTTTCTGTAGTAATTTGAAGCCATGCTTTTGATGTGAACATTGAAGGCTTTAGTATATCGCACTTGCTTTAATTGAAATACAGTTGATCTAGTTTTTTATTAGTAGATGTAGCTCCTGCTTAAAAAAAAAAAAAAAAAAAAAAAAAAAAAAAAAAAAAAAAAATTGCTTGTTTCAAAGTTATTTAATTTGTGTGTGGGGGGGAATAGAAATCTTGCTGCAGCAAGAATATTTGGTATTGATAAAAGCTTTATACATGAGGCAAAGAAAAATGAAATCGCAATAATTAATATGCAAAAAATAAATGTGTTTTGCATGAAGGAGTAAAGAAACAGCCTATCCCAGATTGATATAGGCAAAAAATTCATTTGCATGATAAATGTTGCAAAGTAGGTCCTCCAGAAAGTATTAATTGTAACAAGAAATATCATATATTTATTTGCCTTAAAGTGGACCAAAAAAATGGAAATGAAAGTAAAAACATTAAAGCAACTTTGATTTGGTGTAGTCGATTTATGGCACAAAATAACTTAATTCTACAAGAAAAAGCAAGTTTTGCAAAGGTTGCAGAAAGTTTTGGACAGCATATTGATAAGTTTCTAGAAAACAGATTGAAGTTTCTTGTAACTTGTCAGAATTTACATGAAGTTTAGTTCATAAAATGATTTCTTGGCTTTAAAATAAATAATTTGGCATTCTTCTTAAAATTATTCTTCTGTAATCCCTTACTGAAGCATCAAAAAAATGCTTTTCATGGCACGAGTGAGTGATACTGCTGTATATATCACATGCTAAACCAATTAAAACTGTACACTTTAATGAGCAGTTTAAAATTGTCATAAATAATCCTGTGCTTATTGAGAGCTGTAAATGCAATTGTAAGGATTACACTCGGTCTAAAAAAAAAATGTGTGCACTTGGGAAAATCTTGATTGTTCTAAAATTTAACATGCAAATGCCTCTTACTCAGAGATATGAATGAGAAAATATGCATGATAGGAAATGCACAGAAAAGCAGATGGGAAAACAACCCCCTCCAAAAAATATAAATAAAGTACATTGTTTAACCATTATCTCAGTTAAGTCTGGTTGCATTAGAAAATGAGAATTCTTCAAAGACCCCGATGATGATCAGTTGAACAAATTTGGCAAATGGTATATCACCATGTGCAGGAAAGCAGACTGGTATTGTCAAAAAATAACCATGTATGGAGGTTATCTCCTGGATATGTAGTATTACAAACATCATAGCCATAAAGTTGGACTCCTTTGTTTGTAGAATTGTTTGACCTTTGCTGTTTAATAGAATCTGTTATCTTGTCACTATTAATTCCTGGACATCAAAAGAAAGGCTTATTCTAGTGTCATGGCCATGAAGTCTAGAATGTATCAGATTGAAACCATTCTGTCTTCTGTGGTGGATTAGGATTTTTGTTTGGCTTGAATGACTGAAGACTTCATGCATGAAGAAAGCATGATGAAACTGATCATTCCATGGTCATTGGGGAAATGGCATGTGTGTTATCACATCTGAAAATACTGTTTTATGTATTGCCAACACCTTATTACCTGTTGCATTTTCAATGCTGTTTCATCTCTCAAAAGCTATTTTTCAGTAAATCTGCAGATATCAAATGGCTGCTTAGTGTCAGAACTTTTCTCACTAGAAATTATCTGATTAATGTTGTAGCTGTCCTTTGGCTTTCTAAATCTACAAAGCTTTTACTTATCAAACACTAATGTTATAACAATCTTGCGAAGTGAACTTGTATAGGAATTAATATTTGGCATCAACATATGCATTTAATTCTAGGCTTCTTTCTCCTTAAATGAATCAATTGTTATCAAGTTTTAATCACTTCTGTATTTTTATCTTCTCTTTACTACTCATACCAAATGATAATAATGGTATTATTATTACCATTATTATATTCTATTATTAGATTATATTATCTCTTTACCATAATCACTTCCGTCATGAATGAAGAAATTTTTTAGATGTTCCAATATTTTTTTATGTAGAGTGTATGTTAATAATTATGTTATCAGTCTATAATTTCATCAAGTTTTTAAATTTGAGTACAAATTATCTCTTGTGCATAACACATAACTGAAATTTGTCTTAAAAATTTCTTTTTAGATTGATCCGGATCTTGTACTGCCGACCATGCGTGCTGCTGTTGAGAAACAGCTGAATTTAATAGCTCTTGGAAAAGAAAATTATGAATCTGTACTTCAGCATACTCTTACAGTTTTCCGCTTGAAATTCCAGTATTTTGTAACAAATATTACGGGTATGGATGAGTTATTTGAAGCATCATTTAGTCCTCTTTCTGAAAGTGGAAAACCTCAGTCAAGGTTATTTATTTTATGAATATGGTATCTTTTTTATATATGTATACACTTGCATTACATAGTTATAATTTTGATTTAAATGATTGAATCTTAAAAAAAAAGTCATTTTTTGAGCAAAAAAATTGCTGCAAGGGTATATGATACATGCTTTGATTTAAGGGGGAAAATTTATATAATTTGTAGCTTATATTTTTTATCTTTACAACTTATTTTCTTATGATGAAATTAATATACTAACTTTTCTCTGTTTTATCATTAGGATTTCGATGTATTTGTCTTTGAGCTTTAATTTAAATGCTTTTTTTGGGGGGAGGGGGGTCCTCAGTAGATAGATAATCAATTATGGCTAAGTATGTAATATTTAATTCTTTAAAGCCATCTTTATGATGGAATTTTTAAGGAAAATCTTTGTCCTATGTTTACAACTATAATTCATTAAAATTATACATAAATCCTAAAGCAAAATTTATAGTCAAATTCTTTCAATTGAATTAGTTCTGTATTCATTAAAACTACTTTTTACATCTTAAGTTCAGTATTTATTTAATATAATATAATATAATAAGCAAAAATATTCACTTGAATGTATCATTTTATGTTTAAATGCAGCCTTCCTTTCATATCTTTGCTTTCAAATTGCAGTTGCGCAGTTTTAATTTTTGTCTTTCTAGATGTGGGAAATGTCGCCGTTACATGAAGTTAATTGCCACAAGGCCTTGCCGATTACATTGTCCAACTTGTGATGAAACTTTATCCGTACCTCAGGCTGGTGGGAATATTAGAATCTTCAGGGAACTAAAGTGTCCTTTAGATGATTTTGAACTCTTGCAGTATACAGGAGGTGCAAAAGGGAAGGTATAAATTGGTACAACACACATGCATGCTTACTAAATAAAACTATTATACATTGTTATATATAATTGTTATATATACATAATTGTTAATGCGTGCATAACTGTTTTATCATAATTGTTGTTAGTACAGACTATTTTATGTACATTGCAATTTTCTGCATTTAACCCTTCAATGGTTTGTTCCAAATTATTTTGTTCTTGTATGCAGGCACCATAATGGGTCATTACAGGAAACTTTTTTTTTTTTTTTTTTTTTTTTTTTTTTTAATGTACCTTTAAATATGGGCCTGCCTATATTTTTGTTAACAATGAAAGGATATATCAAGAACAGCTAGCCTGAATTTTTGTCTCTTTCACCTCCAAATGCTTAAGAGGACAAGGGTCCGTGCAACCCTGATAATAATGGATAATGACTGTCATAAGTGCTGGAAGAAAACTTTTTGATGTTTTGAGGTAAAGGCCTTACATGGATTTTAAAGAAACAAGTTTATTACCAGATAGAAAGTGATTGTATATATAAAGAGAATTAGGAATTCCCATTTTAGAGCAGTTTATTGAAAAAAAAAGGCTTTTATATAATAAACTTTTCTTTATAACTCATAAAATCATTAATGGATTAAAATGAAAATAATTTATCATATAATTTAAGGGGAACACAAGATTAAATAATCCTCTTTTCAAAATTCATCTACAAATTTATATCATGAATAATAAAAACATGGGACGCCCTCGATAAATTTATAAATCTGATACCTTTGAAAATGCAGTTGGCTCATTTGATTTCATTCTTTAAGAACCTACTCTTTTGTTATTTGTGTTATAAAATTGTACAGGAATTTTGCAAAGGGCTTAAGTTATCTCTTATTCTTATTAATCTATCTGATAAATTATTTTTTGCCTATTGGTTTATTCAGTATTTTAAGTGTTTTGAATAAAAAGTTATTTTATAAAAACTTTTGTTTTTAAATTTTTAAATTTTAATCTTTTTTGTCCTAATGACATGTTACTAATCAAATTATTAAATTGAAAATTCACTTTTCAACAATGAATAATCAGTCTTTTACTTCCAATAATTTTCTTACCTAAAAAATAAAAAAAAAAAAAAAAATCTATAAATTTTCAAAGATTCACCCAAAAATCAGAAATTATGTTAAAAATTTCATGCATATTTTATTTAAAAGAATATTTTATGCTGTGTAAAGTGGTGCAAACTTTAAATTTTTTATAGTTTGTTCTTTAAATGGAAATATGTGCAAAAAATTATTTCAACATTAAATTGTAAAACATCTAAATCATCTTTTTTAAAGCTCACTTTACCACACTGTATTATCATCTGGAAACAGTGTGCGTACAAAATTTAACTGGATAGCTTATTGAGAAGTAGTTTAAAAATCAATGACGATTTTCTGATTAAAGGGACAAACACCATGAGTGAACTAAATAAAAATTTCTGAAGCAAACAATTTTTGCTAACTTTCGTTGGAAAGTTATGTAAATTGCTGATATTGCATAACCATTAATTTTATAAAATTTAAAATATTATGAAACATGTATGTGACATTCATATGTGATTCTCGACAATTCTAATATTTATCAAAATGGCTATCTTTGAAAATATATCTGTGATACTCATAATCAGTATTTAATTATGTTCTACTTCTATACAGAAATATTGGTAACTTTGAGAAAGGTCAACAAATTTTTTGCAAATATTTAATTATTTGAGTTATATGTACTAGCTTATTAAATTTATACTTATACTATACTAAATTTGCAGTCACTTTGTAAAGATAATTTTTTAAAAATATTTTTCCTCCCCTTCCACACACACTTAATGACTTATTCTGATGAATTGAAGGTTATAAAAACTAAAAGTTGAGAAGATAATTACAAATCTAATTAATAAATGCTCTACAAATACAACTCTTCATATTTTAGCAGAATTTTTTATCTCTCGAAGGAAATGTATTTATAAAGATTGCTCTAGAAATCAACTCAGTTTTATGGCAATTTAAGGTTGCATTTTGTCTTAATTTTCAGCTGCTTATGAGCATATTAAAAAAGCTTTTCAGCTTAAAATGTTAATTGCTTAAAACTATTCATAATCGCAGTTGATTTGATATTTACAAATTTTTACCCTACAATTTTTTTTAAAAAAAAATTATAATTGTATTTAGTGCAGAAAATTAATGGATTTGGAATCTGCACAAGAGGACAGAAGCTGTCATGGAGGACCTTTTATGGGAAACTAGATGGCATTCACATTGAGCATAGAAAAAGGCCAAGAAAACTTTCATGGAACAATTGCATTTGCCAGAATTTGAACCCATGTTGAATTGCCAGTGCTGAGCAACTTTAGTGCTTGGCCACTGAGGGGTCCGCAGACTGATTTAAAATCTTGTTTAGAAACCTTTCATCTTGATTTTAGTGTGATAGGTGCCATAGTTTGAGGGTTAGTATTATTTGAATATAGCAAAACAAATAAGGACTATCTACCTAAGGAGAGAGATGCCTTCATGCAGGACTTTCTCAAGTAAAAGTGGCTCATATTCATGTTACACATGGGCAAAACCATGAAAAAAAACCATGCATTCATCTGGATTTGAATCTAAATTGAACTGCCAGTATTCAGTGGTTTTATTAGCCACGGATGAGGCAGTAGTATAAGAGGTGAAAATAAATATTACCAGACTGTATGACATCTAAATTAAGAAATAAAAAAAAATCACCTCTGAAATAATCTTCAACCCAAATAAGTTTTTTTAAATGCTCATAATTGATGTAATTATGAAACAATTCATGTAATATGTGCCATTTTCAGATTATTAAAATTAATGTGATTTTAGTGAGCAATTATTTAGACCTACTATAGGAAAAAAATATATTGAAATTTTTCTTCAAAATATTAGGAATTATTGAGAAAACTTCTGTAATTATAAATGAAGAAATAGAGTATTTAGCCAGATTTTACATGTGTTAAAAAATAATTAATTATGGTCTCTAGTGGAGATCTTTGTAATTATATTTCTGGTTCCAAAATCAGAGTGGAGAATCTGGTTCCTGAAGCCGCCGAACACTAGTAATTGTTGAAGGATTCCATTTTCAGTAACAGAATAGATTAGCTGTATGGAATTTTTATGATTTTTCTCTAAAATGCAAATTTGGTCATTTATCATTGTTCCTTAATAAAAATATGTTTTCCTATAAAGTCCAAGAACTGGAATCATTCAAACTTCAACAATTCCAGATTTTGGAAATTTTGATATTTTAGATCAAAAGTTTAACCCTTTCCAGACAGGTGTCCCATATATGCATTCCCTTCAAACATCTTTCGCAGTGTCCCACCCATGCATCAATAGAGAATGAGCTTAGGGGACAAGTGATGCATATGTGCATTTTAAGCTGAACCATTTTTTAAAGACCATTATATTTTCTATGTCCATTATTTTTCAATTGAACATAATTGTAGAATCATGACCTCCAGTTTGATCCTGCCTAACTTTTTTGTCAGCTATCATGTAAAAATACCTAATGTAAAAAAACTGAACTTGACTCTTTAACTCGCCATGTGACATAAACATTGTGTGTGTTTCTGATATCCCTTCAAATCTTTTTTTTTTTTTTTTTAATTCTTTTTTCTCTACTATTGCAGGTCTTCTGGGATTACTTGTAGGGTTCTGTTACACTTTGCTTTTATTTCATGTACTTCCCTTTTTATTTCGGAAAGCTTTGAATTCATTTTATTATGCCAAACAAGTGTTATTCAGAAGAGGAGGATATACTCGCATGGTAAATGAGCCAATTAGTGACATGGATGAGAGTGATGATTCATTTTCTAAAGAGTTAGACAGTGATATTTCTATTGATTCTGATTTGGTCATTTTGTTAGAGACTGAGTTGAGTGCCTGCCTTCCACATCCCATGAAAGATCTTGTTATTTCTTCTTCTCTAAATAAGCTTTCTTCTATTCTTTTAATTAATTTTAAAGCTTTTTAATGCGTTTTGTCAATTAAAAGTTTGAATTATTTGAATAATATTTCCGAAAATTATTTCTCAAAACAAGCAATTTTTTTATATATTTTTTCATATAATGTAAAGGAAGAAAATTATTAAATGCTAATTTTAATGTATATTGATGGCTTGAGTAAGGACTTAAACTTTTCTTCTATTTTTTTTAAAAACTTAGGCTTAGTGACGCAACACCCTCATCCTGTGGAACGATTCCTTTTGGCTCCCATCCATCCCTAGGGAATGTCTTAAAAAAATACATGCTGTTTTGGAAGAGTTTAATGTAGTAAGATGGCATGTAGCCATGGCAACATTTGGCCTTATTGTTTAGATCAGGTAGAAAGGTTATCCTCACAACCATTGAAGCAATGAAAGTGTGATCTTAGCCAACATTATTACAACCTCAATCAATGTATTGTCATTGGGTAAGGTGGGATTTCCTAACCAACAAATGTTTTAAAAATGATGTGCAGTTATGATCTTAGTTAGTCAGAAGAAAAATCACATTGTGTGAACAATCTATTGGTATCTCTTGGTAATGAAATATATATTGGATATCAGCTGATTAATTAAACAAAGTTTTTTTAATTATTATTTCCAGTTGGTAATCTTTAGCAATTGCATTCAAAATCACATCAACTAAATTGTTAGTCTCCACATGTCATCTTTGCCTTCACATGAACATTGACAAATAAGAAGAAGAGAAATGTATGACTTTCCTCAATCCAATATCCAGTCCTCATTTCAACATTTTATTAGCATTGTTTATTAAATTTACATTGTACCTTTTTCATCATGTACATTTCTGTTGACTGAATATTTTTATTTTCTTGTATGAAGCAAAGGAAGTATCATATTCACCAAACATTTCAGTTATCATATTACAATGAAAATATCTATTTTTATCACTTTTGAATCCATTTGGGCAATTTTTTTGCATGATATCTATACCTATAGACTATTTATTCCAAAGCAGATTATAAAAGGGATTCAAAAGGAATTTTTTCGACATCTCCATGTATGTATGCATCTCTCATAACTGAAAAGTGATTAGATGTAGAATGTTGAAATTTTATATATGGGACTGCTATAGCATCTAGTTATGGACCTCCCCTTTCTAATTGCAATCACTTGCACCAAACTTATATATAAACTATATATATATGGTATAATAGAAATTTTTTACAACAAAAATATCTGCTGAAAAATTGATTAATTACAGACTAAAAGCATAATAAATTCTGAACCAATCCCAAAAAGACATGAAAGAAATAAAATTTAAAGCCAGTGCTATCCCAAAATCCTTCAATTAAAAAATGTTTTAAAAAAAAATTCTCTTCAACTCGGTGTGTTTTTAAAATAGAAGAAATTTTGAAAACAATAGAAATATATAAAAATTGAAAAAAAAGGGGGGTAAGGCATACAATCAAAAAACTGATTCAACGTTATCAAGAGGAGGTAGATCGTATCTCAATTAAACTCCATTTCCTAGGAAAACCACTGTGTTTCTCTTCATCTAGCTGATGATCTATTTTAAATTATTTAATTATTATTGTTCATCCAAAAATTATAATTGCTTCCTCTACACAGCCGCCTTCCTTTCATAGGAAGTTATACTACAAAAATATAAATTTAAATGAAATAAATTCATGTATCCTAATAAAGTAATATATAAAGTTTAATAACATTAAAATTCAAATTAAAGCGTAATAGTTTACAAAATCTAGAAAAAGAACTCAAATTATATTTCCTAAAAAAGAATTATAACAAGCATTTTATCGAAGTAAGAAAAGTAGTAATATATCTTTATTGGAAGAACAAACGAATGAATTTCAAAATGGAAGAAAAGAGATGCTTAGGGTTTGGTGTTATTGGCGATGCAAAATGATAAAAGAAAGTTTTAAATGTTTCAAAAGGTGTATTCATGGTTAGATTTTTTTTTTTTAAAATCAAAATTGGGAAAGCATTAAAGTAATGCAAGTAAGAAAAAGAAAATAAAAGACAAATGTTAGAAAAGATAAAATTTTCATGCATGCATGGACTTATCATGATGACTTTGAGTATAGTAGGTCCTTAGTTAATAAAAGTAAAGCCAAAAAAAAAAATATTACAGTAATTGCATATTTAAACTATAAACCCTTTTAATTCATCCTTCTTTTTCCTTCTCTTAGTTGAGGTTTCAGTTAAAAATTTACAGACACTGTATAAATTTTTTTCAAGGTAGTGAAGTTTCAGTGCACTGAAAGTTTTGCCTTTCTGTTGGTTGGCTGAATCGCTTGTTTTTACATAGAAACTTGAATCTTAATTGCAAAATTTAATTTTTTAACTGTATTTGATGTTTTTGGTATTTTCTTTCTTTCCTCTTTTTTTTTTTTTTTTTTTCACAATTTTTTATGATTATGTTTTGCAGTTTTTATGCATCTTTAGCTTTCTCAATTCCATGAAATATCTTTACATACTTCTTCATCTAAAAGCCTTAAATCTCAATATAGTACTCACCAGAGCTGGCTGCAAGCATAAATGACATAAGCAGTTGCCCAGGACATTATCTTCCAAAGGGTGCCAGATAAAATATTCTCGCATATGACAACTAAATACACTTTTTCTTACTTTGGTGTTGTTTGGTGTATTTAATTATGGCAAAGCACACGAGGGCTATCTGCCTAAAGGGAGGGATGCCTTTCGTGGAGGACTTTCTAAGGGAAACTGGCTCGTATACACGTTACACACATGGGAAAACCACGAAAACGCCCATGCAGCCAGCCCGTTCGCGGGATTCGAACCTCAGACCGAACTACCAGTGTTCAGCGTCTTTACCGCTCGGCCGCTGGTGGGCAATTTTTCTTACTTTGAATTATTAATATGTTTGATTTGCATGGAATGTTAACTGTGCCAGTCACTTAGGATACCAAAAAAATGCTCAAGCCGGGCCTGTAATATAAAGTTTCTTTATATATTTAACAAGATCTTAATGATGTAATCTACACATTTCTTCACAATCAGTGTTAACTTCTCATTTTTCTTTACAGAGCTTTATATTTTGTCCCTATTGTTACAATAATCCACCTTTTCGAGATATGCGAAAATTATCTGGCTGTAATTCTTGCACTCATCCTACTTGTCCGTATTCACTTCAAAGCAATGGTGTTTCTAATTGTTCTATGTGTGATGGAGGAGTATTGGTATTGGACCCTGGTTCTGGACCAAAATGGAAGCTTTCTTGTAACAGGTATGTCTTCTTACTTTTTGTTGATTGTTTTGCTTTTGTACTTGCAGCAATAAGGTTTAATATTGAGGGTAATATGCATATTTGTAAGCATCATTGAATTTTAGTTTTTCATTTTATGTTACACTTTATTTTTACATATATATGTGTGCTTTGTGTGCATTACAATAATTGCTTTTAAATGTATGATAATTTTTATAATTATTTGATTTATTTCTATGATGAGCTAGGCAGCTGTATATGTTGTCTCACTTTAAATATAAAGGTAATCTAGTATTTTAATAATTTTTGTATGACCCTACTAGTGTTATACTGAAAATGTTGGCAACTGTGTGGGACAGTATTATTGATATTTAGTGCTCATGACATTAATTTTTATCATGAAAGGAAAGATCAACAACCCTAGAACAGGTCTCATGAGAAGAAGGGATGATTGTAGGAAACTAGTTGAGGAGGAAGAGTATGTTGAATGGGCCAGAAGAATGGTAGATTGGCCAAGATGGAAGCGCATGATTTTATTTAACATAGTGAAGTAAATTTTCAGAGTTGCCAACACTCCTAATGTAGGCAGGACACCCATTATTTCTGACTGTTCCCCCGCTAATCCAATTTACAAGATATTTCTCCGGATTTTTTCTTATTCTTAAAAGTTCGCAAAAATTTTTATGTAGTTTGGCTTAATAGTTTGCTTATTTGCACACACAAAAAAGTGATTTTGGAATCTGAAACCACTTAGTTTTTCTCTGGGTTACATATAAAAGAAAGCCAAAGTAATTTCATCAGTGAGAAATTTATGACACGCTTCTGCTTTCTGAGTGAGAGCACATGTGTTGGAAAACATGGTGTTCCCAGTTCTTCAATGAACATTGATACCACTGCATGTTATTTGGCCATCTGGCCAATGAGTGCAAAGCAAGGTCAAGGTTGTTATTTCATTCATCTTGTCTCTGATCAGTCTCACTGCACATGTGTTCATGAAATTCTTTAAGAAATTATGACCTTTTGTTTTACTTATATCTTGAAAAAAAAAGGTAAAATGCTCATGTACTTTTCAAAAATCATATACAGATGACTTTCCTTCTGTTATTTCCTCAAGAAAATGTAATACATTTGCGATATGTACTGTTTGTCATTGTGATTTTTCGATTTCACACGGAAAGGGGCCGATGTTCTCAAACATGTGTGCACAAGAGCACAAGGACAGAATGAGTTCTATTGAAAAAAAAAAAAAAAAATTTTTTTTTTTTTCTGGGGAAACAAAGGCCCAAAATGTTATTAATGCAGAATGCCTGTTTCCTTCCTTTTTACTGGAGCACAACCTGCCACTGAATGCATCAGATTATGCTGCAGCTTTATTTAGAAAAAAAATTTCCGATAGCGAAATTACTAAGAAATACTCAAGTGCAAGGACCAAAATGGCCGCAAAAAAAATGGTTATGAATTTTGTTAAAAAAATGGTTATGAAAAATAAATCTTCAGTTACTAATTGCAGAGTTGCCAACTCTTCCTATTTAGGCGGGAGACTCCCGTTTTTCAATCGCTCTCCCGCCAATCCGATTTACAATATATTTCTCCCGACTTTTTCTCCCGACTTTTTCTTAAAATTTCTCACGATTTATTATGGAACTTGGCTTAATAATACTTCGTTATATGAAAAAAAAAAAAAAAAAAAGGGAGGATTTTGGATGCTGAAAGCAATTGAGTTTTCTCTAGATTATATCTAAAACAAAACCTTGAGAATCAGATGAATTTCTGCTTTGTGAGTGAGAGCATACGTATCCAGAAATGTTCTCCAGTTCTCCATTCCAATTGGCATCGAGCTCCACTCTGCGTGTTAATTGGCATGTAGTAGCCAATGAGCACAAAACAAGCAAGCAAGCTGTTATTTGGATGTTCTTTAGTTATTTCGTTCATCTTGTCCCGAGTTGTGTGAGTTTACGTGCCTTTGGGAAATAGTTTTAGAAATTATCATCTTTTGTTATGTCTGCGAGAAAGGTGAAATACTCGTGTACGTTCAAAAATCGTACACAGTTTACTTTTCTTCCTTTATTTCCTCGAGGAAATGTAATAAATTTGCGATGCTTACCGTCTGTTGTTGTGATTTTTTCGATTTCGCATGGTGGAAGGGCGGGTGTTCTCAAACATGTGCGAACACAAGAACAACATGAGTTGTTTTGAAAAACAACGAAAAATTAAATTTTTCTTCGGAAACAAAAGAGCCAAAAAGTTATTAATGCAGAATGTCTGTTCTCTGCCTTTTTACTGGAGCCTTTTTCTTGTAATTCTATATATGATGTGATTTATGGTGAAATAGAAAATCAGAAGAAAGATGAAGATTTGGTAATAGGAGCTGCAACTACAAAAGTAGTGGAAGAACTTTCAGAAGAAGACAAAAATAAATTTTATCTTCATGTTAGAAGTTACTTCTGTTGAGTATGTGATTACATACTACATAAATTTCCAGTCAACGATGAAGTGATTTTGCATACTAAAGTTGCTGATATTTCTGTTCTAGCAAGTGCATCTTTTTCTGATATAAGGTACTTTTTGAACAGATTTCCTGTGTTACTTTCATTTAGTCAAAGATGATGATAT